AGTTCACAGATATTTTCTCCACCGCTTTACTAAGTTACGTAAACTCCTCCTTTTGCCTCGTGTGTGGTGACTTCACTAGGTTTGATGTCACGTTTTTGACAACCCTTGGACTACAGAACGTTGTTTACTTTCCGACCAGACTCCAGGCTTGTCTTGNTATTTTTGGTAACATTTACATTTCTCCTTCTTGTTCCACTGATCATTTTAATGAGTTCACAGATATTTTCTCCACCGCTTTACTAAGTTACGTAAACTCCTCCTTTTGCATCGTGTGTGGTGAATTCAGTAGGTTTGATGTCACGTTTTTGACAACCCTTGAACTACAGAACGTTGTTTACTTTCCGACCAGACTCCAGGCTTGTCTTGATTTGTGTTTCATTAATGACCTGAATTTATTTAACTTGCGCAGCCGTTCCCCTATTGACACCTCTGATCATGCAACACTGAAACTATCTCCCACAATCTAAAGTAGATCCAATCATCAAACATACACTCGGCATCGTGATCGTCGTCAACGTCAACCCGAAAATCTCATCAAACTAAGAGATATATTAGATCAGACAGATTTCTCTTAACTTGTACATAATAACCCCTCTATAGTTTGTGATACCCTGATTGAATATTTGAAGTTCTGTTATGATACGTGCTACCCGTGGGAAACTTTATACGTACGTCCAGACCGTTTTTTGTCCCCTACACTTAAACGATTACGTCAGAAGAAAGAACGAGCTTTCAAAACAAAAAAGGTAATCTTTGGTGAGAGACCTTTCGAAAGCAATCAAGGCTGAACTGCGGCGATTAAACGCCGCTTATGTACACGCACTGCTGGCAAACAGGAATTGTCGGTATTCGTGGAAAATGATGTTTCAGTTCTGTGGTCTCAAAACCAAGGAGAATCTTCCAGCTGCCAATGTGAACGATCCCAATCTCCAATTCAGCAATGATGAAACCGACATCCCTATTCCATTCACTGCGATCGTCCCTGCTCCTAATGTTGTTAATTTAATTACTGATCAAACAGAAGTATTCAAAACTATCATCAATCTAAAGTCTAATAAAGCATGCGGTCCTGATGGACTGCCACCTGCTGTGCTCAAAGAATATGCAGTTTCCCTTTCTCCTGTTTTCGCCGACCTACTCAACCAGTGTTTTACTCAACATTGCATTCCGGGCTGCTGGGGAGTGGCTTCTATCACGCCAATACCCAAAAAGGGACCATGCAAACTTCGCCCGATTGCCTGCACTTCTGTTGGTTTGAAAGTCATGGAAAAGATTTTACTGCAAATGTTACCCCAGATGAATACACCTGATCTCAATCAATTTGCCTACTGCAGTTCCAGGTCAACCATTGATGCGTTGGCATCCCTTATTCATTATGTCTCTTCCTCCTTGAATAGGAAATGTAAAGCTGTTCGTGTATATTTCTTTGATTACAGTGATGCGTTTAATTGTGCTGATAGGTCCAAACTTCTTCTCACTCTTTCTGAGAAAGGCATTCGGCCGGAGCTTACCAATCTGTTAAGTAATTATTTCACCCATCGATTACAGTTTACTAAATATAAGAGTCGTAACTCTTCACTTTTAACCTCCACATAAGGAGTTCTTCAAGGCGCTATTCTCTCTCTCTTCTTGTTCACAACCTATATTTCTTCAGTGCCTGCTTTCGATGATTGTATGTTCACTAAGTATGCCGATGATGTTGTGCCTGGCATGATGTTTTTGAATTCCTCCGTGTACCCCAAACTTATGCAGAATATTTTACTGCTCACCGACTGGTCTTCACAACCCAACCTTATAATGAATCCTTCCAAGTGTAATAATATTTTATTTTCTTTGCTGAAGGGTGGCCAATACGATAATGTGATGAACTCTTGCAAGTATGTCATTATCAATGGAGAACAAGTTTCTAGGGCATGCTCCGTCAAATATCTTGGAGTCATCAGTCCCGCAATCGCTCTTGATTTCCTCATGTCGTCGGTATATTTCACTAAGTTAGAAAAGCCCACGTTCGTTTTAAAATCATATCTTCCTCAGCTTACCCAATGAAATGTTTTGTCTTCTTTTGTATCATTCCCCACTGGTTTTATACATTCCCAGTTATTTTCCCGGGTATTTTAATCAAAGACTTCAAACTTATACGTACATCCGTCAAATACGTATGTCGATACAGTGATATATTTCGCGAGCAAGTTGTACTGTTTATTATTTCACCGCACTTTTGGGCTTGCCAGAAACTTTCCACCAGAATACTACTTGACTCATCTCATCCACTGTACCCTCACCTTAGTCAACGTATCTCCACATCTAGCACTCGCTCTATGTATAAGCATACAGCTGCACGCACCACAACATACAAGTCTTCCGTGATACCGTACTTGGCACGATTTCTTACTAACGCTGATCTTGTCATTAGGCCTCTTAAACAAAATCTTTGCTAAATTTCTCTTATTTGTTTGTATATGTAACGGATCATCATCCGTTTTTTTACCATGCAATTTCCACGGAAGAGTGATTGTGTGATAGCTGAATGTTCATTTCCTACGGGTTGAATTAAAGCCGCTCCTTGACTTCACTTGTAGTCAAGGTGGTTATACACAGGAAAATGAATTAGTTTCGGTGTGACGTATTTTTCGTGTCACTGTGGATCGCACAGTGGGGGTGATGACAACTAGCATCGACCGAAATCACTTTGTATGCGAAGCTTGATCATCTTGGACTCATTTCGTCTTTTCCCCCATCCCATTTTTCCTCTCCTGTACACCCGCCCCCTCACTCCCCAGGTGGATGAAGATATTGCTAAAGTAGGCATTTTCGATCCGGAGTTGATGGGGCGAGAGGCCACCAGTGATATGCAAGCGTTGCGCGATGAATATCTGATTGCTCGACTGGATATGGCTGACTATAAATTCTCGTTCCATGAGAAAGCACGCGAGTATAATCCGGCCTGGATGTCTCCAGAGGGTAAGTCGAACCGTGTATTGT